CCACATTATATATAATATATACATATAAATATTTACATATATACATATAATGTATACATACACATATAATGTATATATACACATATAATGTATGTATGTATTTTTTAAACAAATAGGATTCTGGATTTGTACTTATTTTGCTCTGCACTTGTTTTTTTCACTTGGATATCTTTCCATTTAAATACATACATAGAAACACCCCATTTTTTTTACATAGCTATAAACTATTCCACTGTATGCATGTACTTGCTTATTGATGGCCATTGCAAACAATGGTATAATTAACATTCCTGTGCATATATATATTTTAGCATTTGTACACCTTTGGAATAATTCCTAGAAATGTTATTTCCATTTCAAAAGTTCTGTGCATTTTAAAATTTGACAGATATGGTCATTTCTACCAAAAAACTATTTCAACATCTTTTTGGCCAATAGAATATAACAGTGCCCATTTCCTCACATGTTCACCAACATGGGGTATTATCAAACTGCTGATTCTTTTCCTTCCTAATCTGATTGGTGGAATATTTTATCTTATTTACTTAATATGCAATTCTATAACTGAGCGATTTTTTCATTTATTTATTAATCTGGGAAATTATTTTTTAAACACTAATTTGAGTACTTTCCTGGATGCATTAATATTTTTGCAGGCTCTCCGTCAGGGGAAAAATGGTCTCTAGAATGTGATGGAGCACAGAGGTCCGTGGGAGCATAGCCTCGTGCTCGTTGACATTATTTCATGGAGTAAAATAAGTAATAGTGGGCTTGTGTTCCTCATGAACGTAAAGAGATAAATGAGGCAAGAGAGACAAAAAGTAATGGGATCATGACTTCATCATAAGGGTCCTAGATGAACGACAGCAGGTCTTCAAGAGCCAAATGAAACTCTGCAGAGATGACACACTAGGCATAATAGTCAACTGTGGGTTGCAATCCCTAGAGTCTAGCATTTGCATAACACCTCACGCTCAGAGCATGAACTGCAGACCCTCACATCCCACTTATGTATGTGGCCTTAGCAATGCTTTTTAACCTTTCTGTCTCCCAATTTCTCCTCCAGTTAAATAGGAATCGTAGCACTGATAAAACTAGCTCGTAAAGTTCTTGTAAATATGAAAATAAGATAATCATTATAAATAAAGTACTTAGCATAAACCTTGACCTACTATAGGTTCTCAACAAAGCTATGTCTTTATTATTATTACTATAATACAACAACTTCACCCATGATTGTATATACATTCTATGACTAATCTGAGAAAAAACCCCACTAATTTGTTTCTGCTATCCTGAGCTTTGTGCAGCTAATTAAGTAAAATTACATATTGACCAACTCTTTGTTATCTCTGCGAAATAATATGAAGAGGGATTAAACTAAACTCAAATTGTAGAGAATTTTAAATTAGCCCTGAGGAGAAAATCCCAATGAGTAAGGCTCTTACATCCTGAAAAGGCGGGTTAAGGATCCCCCCCGACCCCGGCTTTACAGCTCCAATTGGCCATCTCGATGAGCTATATTCAGTGGAATAACAATAGCCTCCCACTCTTTCCTTCTGTCAGGTGTGCCGAAGAACCTCAACTACAATGCCGTGAAAGAGCTGATCTTAGCGGTGGATGGGGTGGTGTCTGTGCACAGCTTGCACATCTGGTCTTTGACAACGAACCAGGTGATTCTCTCGGCTCATGTTGCTGCAGGTCAGTAAGACTGGACAAAGTTCAGCCTTTGTTCTGTAAAGTCAGTAATTTTCCTCCTTTTTGTAGAGCTGCCCTTAGTGGTCCATACCTGTCTAAACAACTGTGAAATACTTTGTATTACCAAGGGCCTTTGAAAACCATACCCCTTGTCAATGTTGTCATGGCAATGATGATTCTGATGATATCCCTAGAGGCTGACTGAAAAGAGTAGGACAAAGGGGGTAAAAATGCCACCCAAATTTGAAGTCCTTAGGTTCTGAAAATTAGACTTCACCTGTTTGGCTTGGTGCTCAAACAGTTAAATAATAGAGATAATTTCAACAATAAATCTTCATTGAGTATCTCCTGTGTTTGAGATGCTTTGCCTATCACCCAAGAAAGATGAAGCATACACAGGTTCCATCCTTAAGGTTCTTTTTATATTTTCTTTAAATATATTCTTACTGATTTCAGAGAGGAAGGGAGAGGGAGAGAGAGAGAAACATCAATGATGAGAGAGAATCATTGATTGGCTGCCTCCTGCATGCCCCACATGGGGGATCGAGCCCACAACCTGGGCAGGTGCCCTGACTGGGAATTGAACCGTGACCTCCTGGTTTCTAAGTTGATGCTCAACCACTGAGCCACGCCGGCTGGGGCTTAAGGTTCTAACAACCTAAAAAACTTGGTAGTAAAAATTAATGGTGATTTTTTTTTTTTACTGGATGGTTAGAAATTCTATAACCATGTGAGATAATTCTTAGGAAATTGGATTTATTCTAAAAATGACTTTCTCAAGTAGAAGGTGATTTTGTCCAGGGTATGTCCTAGAGCTGAGAAACTGGGTGGTGGGAGGTGTCTCTCTGCCTCGGGAGACAGGCCAAAAAGACACATTAGGCTGCTAGAAAATAACTCAGGAAGTTATGTAGACGCAGGGTACAGGAACATCGGTGACAGTCATTTGAGGACTTTGCTTTCTCAGACATCCCGATCTTTGCTGAGAGGCTCAGATCTGGCTACAGGGAATTTACAGCATCCACAACACTAATATTTTATTGCAAATGGAAGAACCTAGTAATCATGTTACTGTGGAGGGAATTTTACAGCCTCCTGATACCTTTGGGGACAAGAGAAAAGATGGAGTGAGGGTTGCTGCTCTAAGAAAGGCCTGTGGGGAGCTCTAAATGCTCCCTGCCTCCTGTCACCAGCCTTAATATAGGTTCTGATTAGATATAAGGGCTGCAACCCAGAGGTCCCTGGGGACTGGTGAGCAAGGCTGTATAAGAAATAACAGGTCTGTCTTGGCTTTTTCCAGGGCTCATTTCCACTTTCATACTCAGCCCCTAGGAGTACCAGACCCCAGAGATAATTGTGAAGAAGAGCTCCCATAGTGTCTGGGTACTTTGCTGCCCTAAAATCCCCCTCCTGCCCTCCATACACACACACACACACACACACACACACACACACCCCTTGTCTGTGCAGATGTAGCTGATTGTCAGAGCCAACCTGGCTCCTTCTGAGCACTAGGCCTGTGCCCCGCCCCACCAAGTACTTGAAGCTGCAATGTAGTAGTTGCCTATTTGTGTGCAATCAATGTCAGGCTCACTATGATTCCTCTTCAACAGCAGCCAGCCGGGACAGCCAGGGCGTTCGGAGAGAGATTACTAAAGCCCTCAGCAATAGCTTTCCTGTGCATTCACTCACCATTCAGATGGAATCTCCCGCCGACCAGGACCCCAGCTGCCTTTTCTGTGAAGAGCCCCAGGACTAGTTCAGTCAGACCATCAGCTTCCTGAGTTGACAGGTCACTACGTGATGCTCTGCAGTTCCTGGAACATAAAAAATAAGGAACCAAAGGAAGAAGTTTGAGAAATTGATGATAGAGTACAATGCACATTTTATACTTCTTTATTTAGCTCCACCCACCATGAATGAGATGCATTTGGATTCACTAATCAATACTGATTATCATCAGTAGTTGTGTTCCATTTCAGGAATACATGTGTGGGCCATTCCTAACTGGGGCTGAAATAACAACTGTTTGTAACTACAGGCCTTAAAAAGTGCATCGCCCTTCAATAGCACAGCCCAAAGATGAGTGGGTCAAGATGAACTAAGGGAAGTCTGATCAGGAATCTGTGGCAAGGAGAGAGTCACAACAATTTCCCAAAACTGGAGAAGTAAAAATAAGAAGAGTCAAGTCAAGGATAAAGAGAATCTGGAGGCCCAATACCTCATAAGAACTTGACTATCCCACCAGGTTGTAATATGATTTAAGGCAATTCTTTTGAATCCCTTTCTATCAACATCACTATTCACTAAATGGGGTAGAAATGCCCTTGCTCCATCTTGCTTATAAATTATGTTGTACTGTGTCTGAAACTATTGAATTATATTGTACTTCTCTGTATAAAAATTGTGGACAAATGCAAAATTATAAAGTTTACTGCTTTTTGAGAGTTTTCATATGGTAGGGCCTATTAATAAAAGAAAATGGGGAGACACAAAGAGGCAGATTACTTATTTCAAGTCACATGGAAAATAATTTAGTCAAAAAATTAATAAGGTCTTGAATAATATTTATAGAGTACTGACTATTGTCTAACTGGTCAATTTATCACCTCGCTTCACTCTAATGATAACTTTGAGCCTACAGATAAGGACATAGGCTCATATAGGTTAAGTGCCTTAACCATGTCTTTTATTCATTCATTCAAAAATATTTTTTTGAGGCAGGCTATGGACTGAGCATTGGTGGACCAAGCTGATATGGTCTTTGCCTTCATAGAGTTCTTTCCCTTTTGTGGGAGAGACAGGCATTGCACTAATAAATACCACCAAGAATGTAATACAAATAGTGACAAGTGATCATAAGAGAAAAGAGGGTGGTTTAGATTGGGAGAGGTCAATGGAGAGCCTCTCTAAAGAAATAGCTTCTGAGTTGAGAACTGAACAAAAAAGCAGGTGATAAGCAAATGAACAGTAGGAAGAAGCTGATTTTCAGAGAAGCAAGATCATGACTGGAAACCCTGAAGAATGAACTTGGTGTGTTTGAGGAATGGAAGGAGGACCCTGTGGTTGGAGGGCCCTACGTGAGGGGGTGAATTTAAGGACCTGAAACAGGAGAGATAAGCAAGTGCATGTTGGAAAGTAGCTGAAACCTAGATCTATGGTATTTTATCCAAAATCGCATCTATACTTTATCTTTGAACACTTTTATTTTTTTGGCTATTTCTTTTATTATGTTTTTCAAATACAGTTTACATTCACTATGACTCTCTATTAGTTTCAGATGTACAGCATAGTGGTTAGCCAATCATGTACTTTACAGAGCACACCCCACCCCCCACCGATATTTTAAGTACCCACCTAGCCCCATACATACTTATGATCTTTTTGTTTACCAAATAATCTACATTGAGAATGAGCCATTATTTCAGATTTGCGTGCAAATGACAAGACTGTTATTCAAAAGAATCAGATGAAAAAATTGCTGAGTTTAAAAGTGAAGAACTGAGAGCATTTCTTAGTGTATCCTATCCTGGGGAGCATGAAACTTGTACCATCTCTACAGAGTTTGGCTAAGGAAAGAGGACACTGAATGAATGGAAATGGTTGTGGGCTGACCCTCCAAAAGACCTTTCTCCCAGGGAACCTGAGTTATGCCAGTGACAATGGGGGTGTAAAGGTAGACATTAATGTACACAGGGAGAACTGAATGCCCAGCTTTCAAGACTTAAATTTAAATAGTAGTAAAGAAATGGATGGCTCACTTCAGTCTCTAGCCCAATAATATGTTCTAAACCAGGAAACATTTCACTGAGTTATTGGATCCTGACTCAGATGTCAGTGATATGATATTTTGATTCATATTTGGCTATTATTCCTTGTGTGGCTACTTCTCTTCTCCTTGGGGAAGGGAGGCCAGAGGAAAGGTCAAATTCTCTCATTCTAAATCCTTGACCACATAATACCATCTAACATCTACACTTCAGTCCTTACCTCCAACAAGGAGGAGGAGCTGTGTAGGAAGAATGTAGTAAGTTCCATTTTGAGTATGTTATCTGAACGTGTGAACTTCCATTGAGCAGTTAGAAATGTGGTCACAGACCTTAAAATAGACAACTTCTTGGGATTTTTTTTTTCTAGTCTGAACTTGGACATGCGTATGAATATATAGAGAGGCCTTTTACAACTAATCTAAACTTCCTTGTCACATTTTGGCAATAACTCCCTTCTACCTTTAAATTCTAGCTGTGTATTGCAAAACCTCATACATTTACTGTTCAAAAGAAAAATATTTCCACCTCAGATCACTTCCTTTATCTGAATGCTAAAACACTGGGACCAACCAAAGAATGTAGCTGTAGAAACCCAGACATCTTTAAGAGAAGCCAGCAAGTTGGTGTCACATGATGTAGCTGTAGAAACCCAGACATCTTTAAGAGAAGCCTACAGAACATCCGAGTTGACCCCAGCAAGTTGGTGTCACATATAATTTAGATATTTACCTACAAAGAGACATAAAGTGGATGTGAGTAATTCATTCCATCCACGAGCATGACTTGAGCACCTGCTGTGTGCTAGGCATTGTTCCTGGCATCGGAGCTATAAAAAGGAATCGGGCACAGTGAGTGCTTCTAAGCCCTGACTCTAAGTCCACATCACTTGTGGAGAGTAACAAAATAAATATGTGCAGGTCTATACCCTGGGAATTCTGAACCAATGGGTCTGGTTTGGAACCTGAACTTTAAAACACACCCCCCCACACACACACACCACACACACAGACACACACACAACATATCCAGAGATGATTCTACAGGACAGCCAGAATCTAGAAGAACCTCAACCAAAGGGGACCCCCACCCCCATCCCCCAAGCGGGGGATTCAGACACACACGGATACTTACAATAACATCTAGAATTGCAATGGTGTGGATGGGATGGGGGTCTAAAGGGAGCACAGAGAAAGTGATGAGGATTGCAGTGTGTGCACAGCCATTGAGGCTTCATGTCATCAAGGTGGTGGTCATCCTAGACTTTATATTATATACGGAGATTCTCCAGGTGGATAAAGAAAAGGGCATTCTAGATAAAAAGATTATGCACAAGGCATGTTTATATTTGTCTGTTAGTGTTTAAGAAGCAGAATACAGGTGGCAAAAGAAATGTTAAACTCTGATCTTTACAACTACATAACTTTTGCTTCTTTATCATTATTAATGTCGTAGAGAACAGGAACATTCTAGATAAAAAGATTATGCACAAGGCATGTTTATGTTTGTCTGTTAGGGTTTAAGAAGCAGAATATAGGTGGCAAAAGAAATGTTAAACTCTGTGATCTTTACAACTACATAACTTTTGCTATTTTATCATTATTAATGTCGTAGAGAACAGGAGTTATGTCTTCGATGATTTTTATGTCACTGTCAGCACCTCGCAGGATGCTGGAAGCCTAGGAGGCATTCATAATTGTTGAGGCAATGGCTCTGGGGTGCTATGTGGGCCTTGTCATTATTTTTCATTTGCATTTGTATTTCTCTGAAATTTTGAGGACCAAGAAAACACTGACTTTGACTGAGGAGGTCACATCTGTGCCATCTCTGCGAATCAATCAGCGCCACTGAAATAGCCACTTAGCATTCTGCTGGCAGCTTGCCCTGCTCAGTGGAGGCAAATAGACTGGTCCGCCACCTCAGTAGGCACTGTGAATTAGGCAACCAGAATCAGAACCGGTCAGGTTCCTAACGACTCCTGCCTCAGATGGCTCTCAAACCAGAAAGGACAGTTCACCCCAAATCATTTCTCCTGCCCCAGGGGCCACAGAGTGGTTTTGCTTTTCCATATTTTGTACAGGACAGAGCCCTAAATACCAGACGACCTTACAAACACACATGTTCCAGTGTGATTCATTGCTCTGCTTTCTTTTTGAAGTCATGTTTATCTTATATTTCACGCCAAGAACACATTGGATGCCAAGAAGGGGGATTTGTAAGTCAACCAAAGGAACTACCCCAAGCTCCATTTCTGCTGTTTCCCTGAAATTCTACTCCCTCAGTTGGGTAGATTGAAAATTCTGAATGGTAGATGTTTCTCTGATAAAAAATAAAAATTTTATATGTTCTCTGTAGTAGATACTGAGATGCTTAATTGCATTAAAATTTTAAATAGATGCTGAGAAAATTACCCACCAGATTGGGTGATGCAATTTTTATGCAGCCTATGATACTTTTTGGGAGCCCATACCCTTTTACAAATATATTATAAAAATTTGTTTTGCCAATCTAATAGATAAAAAAATATTCAATTATTTCATAAAATTTGCATTTTCTTGTAATATATTTTAAAGTTTATTTTCCATTTCCTCTTCTGTGAATTGCCTATTCATATTGTTTCTCCACTTAAAAAATACTTATTTTCTGTAGATTTTTATCTAATTAAAATTCTTATAGATTGTATTATTTGTCTATAAAATACACTACAAAGTTAATTTAAGGTTAAAAAACACACAAGACTATCTGCAATGGGGATGTTAAGGATGTAAGATGAAAGAGCAGATACCACCAAGGGACTTTAGGTGCCAGACATCAGTTTTGAAGGTTGGCTTCTCCCTTTGCCCTTCCTTGGCATGGTCGGAACTCCCGGCCATTGAAGTTATGGGAAGAGCATAGTAGCATCCTTTACTTCGTGGCATTGTATTGTCTGGATAAGGACACATATGTAATAACTTAATCAATAAAAAAATAAAAATAACTATTATAATAATGATAACAAAATAATTAAAAACTGATTACGACAAACACACACACACAAAAAACAAAAAAAAAACCCCATTAATGATTTTTCCTATCTTTCAGAGTTACACATTTTATTTTTCAGAGTACTGAAATCAAACAACTTTCTTCCACCCTCCATCCACAATATGCTTTTCTGTCACCCAGCAGCCAATCAATATTTTATCTCCGGCTCTACAGTGATGTTAGGGCCCACAAAAGAAATTGATGTGTTTCATGTTTGGTTACAGATGGGAAATGGGAATGCTGAAGGACGTGGAGGAAAGGTTTGTACTTTGAACATCAGTTCAGTAGTTAGGTTGCCTGAGTTTGAAGCTTAGCTCTTTCCTTTATTAGCTCTATGACCTTGAGCTAGTTACTTAAATGCTCTGTCCTTCTGTTTCCTGATCAACAAAACCTCGCTATTCTGAGAATTTACTACATTAGGCTACGTAAAGAGGTTGGACTTGTGTATAGCATGTAATTAGCACTTAGTAAATATTAACTATTATCTATTATTATAAACAAAGTGAGTGTGTATGTATGTGTGCACCAAACACAGAGATTAATATCATCCACACTTTTAAAAGGTTTTGAGCCATCAACAAAAC